AGTGTTTTTTTTCTTTTAAGTTTTATTCATATTACTTGGAAAGACAGATTACAGAGGGAAGGAGAGACAGAAAGATGTTCCACCTGCTGACTCACTCCTCAAGTTGCCTCAATAGCCAGAGCTGAGACATTATGAAGCAAGAAGCCAGGAGCTTCTTCCAGGTCTCCACCATGGGTGCAGGGTCCCAAAGCCTTGGTCCATGCTCCGTTGCTTTCTCAAACCATAAGCAGGGAGTTGGATGGGAAGTTGAGCAGCCAGGGTATGAACCAATTCCCACATGGGATCCTGGACTTGAAGGGAGAAGATTAGCCAATTAAGTCACTGCATCAGTCCCCAAAAGAAGGTATTACATTTTATTTACCATGGAAGAAATGTAAATAAAAGGCTTAAATGTATATTACTATATATCCACGGGAATATCTAAAATGACATAAACACAGGCAACTGGAAATGTTGATGAGGATGTGTTCCTATTATCCATAACTCAAATTTAATCACATGAAAATGGGATCTCATTTGGACCCAGTACTCCTACAGATGTAATTGGTTATGATGAAGTCATTCAAGCAGTATGTTATCAATATTGACTAGCATCCTTATAAAAAGAGGAAATTGAGACCCAGACATAGACACAAGCTAATGACACAAAAAACAATGAGTCATTTACAAGTCAAAATTTTTTTCTTTCACAGGCCACCAAAGTAGCCAACTCTGCCCCCACATTGAGTTTAGGGAGCTATCCTCCAGCACTGTGAGACAACAAATTTTGATTCTTTAAGCGCATCTAGTTGTGACACTTTTTTATGACAGCCCCAGCAAACTCTTACAGGCACTATCTGTGAAGTAGAATATATGCCTACCTTATCACTCAATATGTATTCTTTTTGATAGATATACTTCAGAAATATGTTTATCAAATGATTTGTAAAAAAAAAAAAAGTGTTCATATCATTACTACCTGCAAGAGCCAAAATTCAGAAACAATTTAAATGTTTATCAGTTGGAGAATAAACTATTATGTCTTCATGCAGTACAATTCTATATGGCAATAAGAATGAATGATTTTGATCACATGCCAAAGAAAGGAATGATCTCACAATAAAAATGACAGAAGAGTGTCAAAATGCAAAAGGTTATATGACATGCCAGTAAATGATACAACTGAATAGGAAAAGTATGGGCCAAAAGTCTGGTCAGTAGTAGCCTCTGGAGAAGAGGGAAAAGTAGTGTTTGGCAAAGAATAAGAGGAGGTTTCCAGGTTCTGTAATGGTCAATTTTCTGATTTTTTTAAAAATGTATTTGAAAGGCACAATTACATAGAGAGAAGAGAGAAGCCATCAATCCACTCAATTTCTGCATGACTACATTGACCAGGATGAAGTCAGGAGGTTAACCATGTCTTCTATACATGCAGTAGGGACACAGGGACTTGGCTCATCTGATAATGCTTTCCTAGACACATTAATTGAGAGCTGGATCAAAAATGCAGCAGCCAGGACTCAAACCTACACTCATACCAGATGCTATTACTGCATGCTACAGCTTAATGTGCAGCATCATGTTAAAAAATTTTCATTTCTGTATTTTAAAATGCAGAATTACAGAGAGAAAGAGGGTGCAAGAGAGCAAGTAAGAGAGAAAGATCTTCTATATGGTGGTTGACTTCTTATATGGAAACATTAATGGCTACAGCTGGCCCATCTGAAGCCAGGAACCAGAAGTTTCTTCTTGGTATTCCACATGGGTCCAAGGGTAAAAGCACTTGGGCCTTCTTCCACTGCTTTTCCAGCTGCCATTTTCAGGAAGCTGGGTTGAAATTGGAGCAAGTGGGATTTGAATTAGAGGTGCTGAAAACAGAAGAAGCATTACCCACTATACCATAGTGGCATCCCCTGGTGTATTTCTTGATATTGCTGATGGCTATCTTGTGAAAAATTCTTAAACTATACATTTTTTAGCTGAATACCTTTTTCTGATTATGTCATAAATTAGTAAGAAAAAACAATTCAACAAATTGAATAGGTTGTGAAATAAGAGAACAGACTAGATGATAATAACTATAAAAGAGAACTTGGAAAATAAGGACAGAGAAAATATGACATATAAGCAAAAAACCATAGAACAGAATCAAAATGTTAAATTTAAGTCTGATTGCTTAAACAGACACAGTAACTGGGCAAAAAGCAATGTTTGAAGTGCTCAGAATGTCCTAAACTCAACAGCTACCAATCCCCAAACATGGAGCTGTAGTCTACAACCCTAAAATTCTTTCATACATTTTTCAGTAATAAGAACATTCTTGTATGAAATCACACCATTATCTCATCTAAACTTATCTACATTAATTTAATAACATTCTAACAGACTCAAGGTAAAAGTTTTCAAGTTATCCAGAAAATGTCCCCTGGAGCCATTACTTTTTTTTTTTTAAGAGATTTATTTATTTTTATTGGAAAGGCAGATTTACATAGAGAAGCAGAAACAGAGGGAGATCAATCACCCACTGATTCACTCCCGAAATGGCTGTAACAGCCGGTCCTGAGCCAATCTGAAACCAGGAGCCAGGACCCAGGACCCAGGTGCCTCTTTTAGGTCTCTCTCATGGGGGCAGGACCCAAAGGCTTGGGTCAATCCTCCACTGCTTTTCAAGGCCATAAGTAGGGAATAGGACCAGAAGTATAGCAGCTGGGACAGGAACCAGCACCCTTAAGGACTGCTGGAATTGCAGGTAGAGGATTAGCCAGTTGAGGGACCACTGTGCCAATCCCTAGGGCCTATTTTTTTTTTTTAACTGCTCTAACATGACTTCAAATAATATCTTCATTTGTGGCAGCTTTTAGTATATTATCACAGTTGTCTTTCATGACATGGAAAACTTTACAGAGCCAAGGACAGTTATCCTGAAAAAGTATCCCTCATTATGGATTGTTTCACTGTTTTCCTCATGATTACCAGATCAAATATTTCCAACATTGCAGAGCAGAATTATGTCTGTCCAGTACACCATACTGTACATGTGGCTGTCACCCCTCTACAGATACAAGTTCGCTAATTTTGTATATTTTCCCATTGCAATAAGCAAGTCTTTTACAGGGTGATACTTGGAGATTCAAGACTACACCTAGTGAGTGGCAAGTAGGAAAGCCACAGCACTGTAGAATATAACCTTCCAAGTGTTAAGAGAAAAAAGAACCTATTTTATTTGTATCAACTAAAATATCACAATTTAACAGTAAATGCAAACTACTGTGAAATTATTTCCTCATTCTGCAAAAAATAATAATAATAGAAAACATTAAATAAAACACAGGCAAATTTTCATTCACAAAAGAGCGATTTTCAGCTATTAGCACCATTTTTAATAAAAGAAAGAACAGCCATAACTCCAGGAAAGCAGGGAAGATCTAGACACAATACCTAGACATTGTTTAGCACAAATCAACATAGCCTTACAGATAGCTTACTTCTTATTTTCCCATGTTGCTCATTCATACTTTGTCAAGATAAGTTAACAGTCCAAGGACAAGTCTTGGTTATTCACCAAGATGGACCATGAAAAGGGTGAAAAGATGCTTACTTGAGCATGGGAAACCCAGTGTCCTTTTATAACTGCATAATTAGGACTGTATAATTCATTTTGAATCAGAAGTCTGAATTATAAAATTATGCTTAGCATTATGGCAACAACAAGTGGCTCAGATCTAAGCAGTCTGACTCTAAATCGTATATTTTTTTTCTGTTCTGCTGTACTGAAAAACACAGGATACAAGTTTGAAATTCCTAAAGTAGCTAAAACTAGCAGGTGGTAGTTCAAGATGGTATTTGTAATGGAAAAGTCTTCTGGAATTCAAAAAACACTGTCATGATGCAAATGGATGAATCTAACTCCATAAACACAGGAAAGCTACAGAAATTATGTTTAGGTTAGAAAAATTGGGAAAATGGAGCTGTAAGATAATAACCACCAAATAAACTTAGGTATCAACTAACTCCTATAAATATAAAAGGAACAACTGAGTAAGTGCACAAAAAATCAAATTAATTTCAGTAAGATTTTAGTGAGTAAAAGGAGTAATTCAAAAACAGTACATATGGGAGGATTCCAACTATATGAAGGCATGGAACAGGCAAAACAAGCCTATGGTTTTAAAAATATCAGAACAGTGGTTGACTGTGAGGGTGAAAATTCTGGGGAAACAGGAAGAGAGCACAGGACAGGATGATGGGTATGATTTAAGTATATGTTTGTATGGTTGGTTAATTCAACTGCAAAAGGGGTAAAAACTACTGATAAATACAAATTCTAGCTACCTATACGTATAGATATTTAGGGGTAAACATAATATCTGTAATTTAGTTCAGAATTAATTGCAAATATAATGGATTCGTTTGATGGATAAATATACATACACAATAAATATGTGATAAACCAAGTACAGGAGTATGCTATGAATAGATTAGTTAATTAAATGGTACTCATCAACATTCTTTCAACTTATTTCCTAATTACACTTTCTTACAATTAAATGTTGGGGAGAACGTATACAGTACATGTGACTATAGAGCCAAGTCAACGTTCTCCTTAAATATAGAAAAGACCATGTAAAGACTCAATTTCATAGAAGATTCATGTAACTATTACAAATTTTGAAAGTAAAAAATTTGCGGCATTAACATTCTAGCAAAACACATTCAGAGGTTGCCTGAATTCTAAAGTGGAAAGGCAACAATGAAAATATTGTAAAGACAACTTATATAGAAAAGCAACACATTCTAGAAAATTGCTGGAATATAACATGTGGAGAAAAATCTAGTAAACCCAATATAGTAACTAAACATACAAGTTTCAGAAATCAAATTAGTTCATATTTCAAACTGACATCAGTCATAGTAAGCTAACTTAGTCAAAATCAACTCTACTGAAGAAAGGTGGTGAATACTAGAGAGACTTAAACAGAAATCTGTTTATTAATATACATATCTTGAAAGAAGTACTTTACCTGCCATCTCTTTCAAGGGCAAAGGTGATGCCATCTTTCTGGAATGGAAGCAGCTTTGCTCTTAACTTCTCGGGCAAAAAGTCCAGTTGTTTGTAAGATTCATTTGTCAAAGAAGCAATCTGAGCTGCAAAAGACTTTTTCTTGTTTCGAACATGAGGCATGATGATCCCAAATATCTAAGTATAAAAGAATAGAGAGACAGATATAATCAAGTGGACTACAGAATAATACATAAATAATAATATCACAGTGCTTAGAATTAGCTTAAATGTACCAGTGTCACAGATCTAAGTTAATTTAAATGTTTCCAGGCCGAGAGCAATAGGCTAGTGGCTAACGTCCAAGACTTGCACACGCCAGGATACCATATAGGCACTAGTTAATGTCCCGACTGACCCACTTCTCTTCCAGCTCCCTGCTTGTGACCTGGGAACGCATTGAGGATGGCCCAAAACCTTGGGACCCTGTACCCACAAGGGAGACCTGGAAGAAGCTCCTGGTTCCTGGTTTCAGATCAGGAAAGGCTCTCTCTGGCCTTTGCAGCCACTTGGAGAGTGAGTCAGTGGATGGAAGATCTTCCTCTGTCTCTCCTTCTTTGTAAATCGGCCTTTTCAATTAAAATAAATAAACCTTTAAATACATATATGTATATATATTCCTAGTGGAGTGACAATTGTGGCACATCAAGTTAAGCTTCCACCAGCAATACTTAGCACCCTATATGGGCGCTGTTTTGAGATCCACTGCTTCACTTCCAATCCAATTCCCTGATAATACACCAGGAAAAGCATCGTTCAAGTGCTTGGATGGGTCACTAAAACACACATGGCAAACCCTTAATGAAGTTCCTGACTCCTGGCTTCAACCTGCCACAGTCTCAATCACTGTGGCCATTTGGGGGGTAAACCAGCAGATGCAAACTTCTTTTCCTGTCACTTATTTTCTCTTATGTGTGGGTGTACCTCTGCCTTTCAAATAAGTCTTCAACAAAAAAGGTTCCTGCATTGGTCAGTATAGTGCCTATCTTTTGTGATACTGGCATCCCATATTAGAATTAGCTCCTGTATGGACTGTTCCAGTTCCACCCTGCCACCTGTTAATCCACCTGGAAAAGAGAAGAAAATGGGAAACTAAGACGACCCATCCCTGGTCATGGTGCTCATCTAGGGAGTGAATCCTACAGAAGATGGAAGATCAATTGATTCATTAATCTCTCTGATTCTCTGCGTGTCACTCTGCCTTTAAGTAAAATCTGAAGGTGGGTTACTAAGAAAACTCAAAGCACTGAATTCAAAAGCAATTATTTCATGTACTTTCTAGAAATTCCCTGTCTTCTACTTCATTTTGAGTCATAATATATCCAGACCATAATCTAGTAAGATAAATGGATTACTGAAAAATAATTTAGCAAGGGGACTTATAGAAACGAGATACTTTTAAAAATAAGGCATGAATTTTCTATCAAGAGGTTAGTTTTGTGATTGATCCTTTTATAGGCGTATATTTTATCACATGAGACTCACTAAGACTAGGGTACTTCTGCACTGAAAAAAATTACAAAGTGTAAAGACATTAATTGCAAATGTATAGAAATTAAGTGGCTTCAATATTACTGGGTTTTTTTTTAAGATTTATTTATTTTTATTGGAAAGGTAGATATACAGAAAGGAGGAGAGACAGGAAAATCTTCTGTCCAATGGTTTACTCCCAAAGTGACCACAACAGCCAGAGCTGAGCTACTCTGAAGCCAGGAGCCAGGAGCTTCTTCTGGGTCTCCCACATGGGTGTAGGATCCCAAGGCCTTGGGCTATCCGCAACTGCTTTCCCAGGCCACAAGCAGGGAACTGGATGGGAAGCAGGGCAGCCAGGATTGGAACTGGCAGCCCTATGGGATCTCGGTGCATTGAAGATGAGAACTTTAGTCACTAGGCTACCATGCCAGACCCTAGTGTGCATTTTGACTATCAAAACCAATTTTATTCAATTGGTCAGATCTGTGTAAACTCTACTTGATAAGGACCTTTCTTATTCTTTGAGTTTCTGCAGATGTAATTTTAATTTTCTAACATAAAAATTTAATACATCTATAAATTTTTAGAACTCTGCAAGAGAAAAAAACGTTATTAAACCAAACTCACATAATGCATCTCTAATATTTTGAACTTAGCATCTTGTCATCTGTTTATTTATAATCTCATATTTTAAAAAGCTTTCTTTTCAGCTACTGACAGACTTATAAAACCTTGCTCCTCTTCCTTAAAAAGTAACCAAACAACCTCAGGCTGGCCATGGTAGCCTAGTGACTAAAGTCCTTGCATGCACGAGGATCACATGTGGACACTGGTTCTGATCCAAGCGGCCTCACTTTCCATCCAGTTCCATGCTTGGGGCCTGGGAAAGCAGGTGAGGACATCCCAGGACCTTGGGACCCTTTACCCGCATGGGAGACCCGGAAGAGGCTCCTGGCCCTGGCTTAAGATCAGTGCAGCTCTGGCCATTGAAGCCGCGTGGGGTACGATTCAACGGATGGTGGATCTTCCTCTCTATCTCTCTTTCTCCCTATATGTCTGACTTTCCAATGAAACTAAATATTTTTTTTAAAAAAGTAACCAACCTCTTTTCTGTGTCTCCTGAGAATCTTAAGAATTAAACAAGCCTTTATTATTAAAAATAAATAGGAGCCACAGGACACTAAGGCCCACACATTCACAGGGCTTATATTCTTCAAGGAGAGACTAAAAATAAACAAATAAACATGGCGGTTTATAGCACAAATATTATAAGGGTAACGGTCACAGTGAGGCTGACCTGGAGAAGGCTTTTTTAAAAGGTGCTATTTGGACTACAGTTTGAAGATAGAAAAAGCAAGTCCAAGGCCAAAATTAAGAGATTACTCCAGCAACAGAAAAACCAGTGCAAGACGCTGGTGCTGATAAAGGCCTCTGAGATTTCAAGAAACAAAAAGAAGGCCAATGTTCCTAAACCAAGTAAGAACACAATACAAGGCAAAGCTATTGAGATAGGCAAAAATAAAATCAACTGTATCCTTGAAAAAGACTTTGGATTGTATCTTAAGAATGAAGTAAAACTAATGGAAATGTGCTATTGTATCATTAGTCTCATGTGCCTATTTAGTTAAAATTAAAGTCAATAATTAATTTCACCCTTCATACCACCTGTGGTTTTTTTATTGGAAAAGCATTTTTTTTAATATTTTGGGTTTTTTTTTTTATTAGAAAGGCACAGATTTACAAAGAGGAGGAGAGAGGGAGGAAGATCTTCCATCTGTTGATTCACTCCCCAAGTGGCCACAATGGCCAGAGCTGAGCAGATCCAAAGCCAGGAGCCAGGGGCCTCTTCCAGGTTTCCCAGGCTGGCACAGGGTCCCAAGGCTTTGGACCATCCTCGACTGCTTTCCCAGGCCACAGGCAGGGAGCCAAATGAGAAGTGGGGCCGCCGGGATTAGAATCGGTGCCCATATGATATCCTGGTGCATGCAAGGTAAGGACTCTAGCTGCTAGGCTACTGTGCCAGGCCCCCAGCTGTGTTTTCTATGTTCCACAGCTTCATTTCTCTAGTAACTTTCATAAGGAAAATAGATACATAACATTCTTATCTGTACTGGAAATCCTATTGAATAGTACTTACAGACACACTTTTAAGCAGGGAATTGGCACAATAGAAAATACAGCCACTACCAATAGGACGACAGATAATGAATGTCTCTATAGATTGAGCCAATCAACAATGCTTCTACTGCTCCTGTAGGAAACTAGATTTAGAAATGACTTGTGCTTCAGACCAGTTTGAATAAAGTCCTCAAAGATATCAACAAGTATATATCCCTAGTATTTCTCAGTAAGACTATTATGAACCAAAAAACAGCAAATACAAGCTGGCTGCACACCAAAACCATCTTGAAGAGCAATAGTAGAGAGGTTAGGGAAACGTATGGCAGGTAAAGCAAACAGAACTCATGGATTAATTAACCTGTGCAGAATAAGAGAATTGTGGAATCAAAATGTGATTCTGGGAGTAGCCATTCAATCCAGTGGCTAAGACACGCACACCTGACACTGGAGGATCTGGCCCAAACTAGCTCTAGACTCGCTCTCTGATAACAGACTGGATGGCCCAAGGAATCACAATTCTGCTACCACAGAGGAGACACTGAATTCTCGGATCCCTTTTTCAACTAGACGCAGAACTGGCCTCTGTAAGCATTAGGGGAGTGAACCAGTAAAAAGGAGGGCTCCCTTCACCACCCCTCACCTCCCACACATATATGTATTTATCCCTAACCAAATAATAACAATGAAAATATATGGCTCTAGACAGCAATAAAATTAGTGTTAGAATGAACCAAGGCAAGTAAAGTTTCTGAAGAAGTGATTAAGGAAAGGAAACAAGACAGGTTAGGAATATACAAGGCTTGAGATAGCTTTAAGATAGGAACTGGAAATATCAAACTGGGCAGGATATATGAACCTGGAACTCAAATAAGGAGACAATGAGGCTGGACACACTACATTCAAATTCTTCCCTACCTTGCCTGGTAGTCAATAGTTTGCTGATCAGACATGTTCATTCTGGATTTTAATACAGAAGGCCAAGGTTCAGGGACGGTGGTATAACGTTGCTGATACAACTGCAATCTGTGATGCTGTCATCCCACAGGGACACTAGCTCAGGTAATGGTTATTATCACCTGTGACCCAGTTCCATACTAATGACCTGAGAAATGCAGCCAAAGTCAGTCCAAGTACTTGGGCCCCTGCCACCTACATGGGAAATCAAAATGCAGCTCCTGGCATCAGACTGGCTTAGCTGTGGTTTTTGTGGACACAAGGAAAATGAACCAACAGATAGAAGATGTATCTTCCCTTGTATCTCCCTCTCTCGCTATAACTGACTTCCAAATGAATAAATAAATATTTAAAAATTTAGGGCCCTGGTGTGATGGCCTAGCAGTTGAAGTCCTTGCCTTGAATGTGCCAAGATCCCATATAGGCACCAGTTTTAATCTCAGCAGCCCCACTTCCCATCCAGCTCCCTGCTTGTGGCTGGGAATGCAGTCAAGGACTGCCCAAAGCTCTGGGACTCTATACCCACATGGGATACCCAGAAGAGGCTCTAGGCTCCTGGCTTCAGATCAGCTTAGCTCTGGCTGTTATGGCCACTTGGGGAGTGAATCAACAGACAGAAGATCTTCCTCTCTGTCTCTCGTCCTCTCTGTATCTGCCTTTCCAATAAAAATAAATATTTTTTTA